CCAAAATCAAGGTACCTCATCATTAAAGTACTTCTGAAAAGATCCCATGTCAATAAGCCAAATGTTTGATGGTTTGAATGAGGTATTATCTCATTTTTTAAAAATCCTATAGTGTTTCTGTTTAGTGCTCAATTACTTTTATACGTTAAAGATTTTATTTAAACATCATTCACATCTTAAGGAATTCAAAGATAACATATCTTTTAAAACAACAGAAATGTGATATAAAGGAACAAAAACAAGATAGCACAGAAGATTACACATTTTGTTGCTTTGTCTCAGCTGAGGTTTTTCTCCATCCCAGAGTTTAGGATGTTATACTTCAACATGCTAAAAAACTATTCAACATACTACAAATGCCAAAACCATGTGTTGGGATTATTTAAACATCATTATTGAGCTTTGAGTTGTTTGTGCCTTATATAGGGGTATTAGATGCAACATGGCAAATTCTCTCCCTTTACTGATTTACAGAGATAATTTTCAGCTGTTTATTCACTTAAAAACAGTTGTTTTTTAGACTGTCTGCAAAAGAGAGATTGCAATGTATGCTTTACCTTCGGGGCAAGAGCAGTGAACTCCATTTGTTAAACAAAGAGATGCACTAATTTGTGGGAATGAGATAAGTAATACAATCAAATATTTGCTGAATATTTTGTAATTAGTTGAGAGGACAGAGCCTCAATAAACTAAACAGACCCTACTCAATAAACTAAAATATTTGTCGGTATTTGCTGATACTATAGGTTTGAACAGGAACTTATTTACAGTGACATTAAAGGAAACACAGCAAAATGTAATATATTTCACAAGAAAAGCCTGGTCTGTGAAATACTTTGCTTGTACTTTTTTAAACAATCAAAGAAACCCTAACTGTCAGAAAAATCCTAGAAAAATAATGGAAAGTGTATTTGCTTTGGAAAAATGTACTCCCTGACTTCCAGGATTATCTCTGAACACTATTAATTCAGGATGATGGTAATAGAAGAATGAATTTCACATTTCCTTTACACATCATCTGTGCTCCATGCTAGTGCAAAAATCTGTTTACAGGTTGGGAAGCATAGGACTACATTTAATACATTAATGGCAGTGGCATAATAAAAGTAAATTTAAGTACTTGGTGTCACTGAAGGAAACTGAATCTCAGACTGACCTTTATCTGAACCATCGCTAAGAAAAAAAAATATAATATTTATTTTTTTACTCTGTAACCTTTTTCTTTCTCCAGCATAAAAATTAAACCCAGAAGATATTTTCCCCTTCCTTCTTAGAATTTATAAGGGGAATTCAAAATCTGGCTCACTCTTAAAAGCCAGTGGATGTGGATTCCTACCATGCGACAGAGTTACGGTGTCTATTATTGTTTACTCTTATCCCCTATATAGGCCACAAGTACAGTCAAGTTTTTAACTAGCAGGAGCTAGTTATGAATTTCACATACGCATGTTACTGACCGTAGCTTCTTCTGGGCTTCACTGACAACAAACAGACAGTGCCATCTGACGTCCTCAAAGAGCAATACACTGTTTCTAAAATCTGTAAAATCACATAAAGGGCCAAAATCTCAAAATTACAATTTGACCATCACAGAACATTACTTCCTAAGCCTACCTGGAAAAGAGCCTCTAAATAACAGAGCCTCTGTTTTCATCAAAACAATCCTAACCTCGCCTATGAAACGGTGGGCTCTAAACTAATCATTACTGCAGCTCTGGCTTAGTGTCTTACACATGTTGGATATTAATTCTGTCACGCGTGTGTAAACATCCGTATGCAAATTTGCTAAAATTGTATTCACGTTCCATAAGGGCTTTACCGTGGTTTCTGACAAAGCAAGATCCAGCCCATCACAGAAGTGTGAGCAGTTGCTGTCAACATCCATACTACAAAAACATTTGAAAGAAGCTGAAAGAATGAAGCACCTTCTAGATTCCAAGACTGTTCCACCAATGTACACATGCGTGTGTGAATATTTACACCTTAATACGGATAAAATGCACTTGTTCATCAGGGGAGAAATGCACACCTTTGCCTCTCTGCACAGCACAGACAGCACAGGGGATGCTGGTGGGAGCAGATGACACTTTTCAGGTCCAGGGATCGTTTTGCGTGTGAGGTGGACACGGGTGCTGGTCAAACATGGCCATCTACTGGCCTCTCGTCCGCTTTGCAGGACCAGCCGTGTCTTCCAGAAAACGCAGTTTTGCAGCATGAAATCCTGGCCCAACCCATTTCAGCAGGAATTTTACTTAACGTTCATGGGTTATAAATGATAGTGTTTTTTTCTGACTGTATGTCTAAGCGCAGAATGGAGTGAGGGCTGCAGCACGTTGATTACAGAGTCACGGCCAAGGTAAATTGCATTTTAATTTCACCACAGGATTTAAGCCCATTGCAAGACTTGCTGCTACGTTACAGGATGTTGGAATCTCACTGCGATGTGTTCCATACTGAAACGCACATAGAAGACACTTTAAATTTAGCTACAGAAAGCGTTGGTCTTTATGGCTGTACTGATAGTTGTGTATTTAGTACCAGACAGTGCTCTTTCTGGTTCTTGCTTCAAAGTTTACTTTAAGGAGCTACAATAAATAGACATCGGTATATTTAGGACAAAGCTGCCTGGAGACAGCTATGGACACATAGCATGTGTTCCCCATTGTGATTATTTGGATGTTTACTAGTTTATGAGGACTGAAAACCTGCAAGCTTTCAACTTTAATTTAATAATTTAAAAATCGAAATTTAGGTCCTCTCTATGTGTAGGGAACCCACCTTTTCTTTTGTTGTGACCTCCTTGGTTCTGCCTATTTAATAACTTAGTACAGTAATTGTTCATATTTTCTTAGGCATTTGAAAAGTTAGAAGATGGTGCTTTTGGGGCCTTTTTGCAATAGGAAAACATTGCACCTTCCTACATAAAGTACCAAATTCTAAGATCACAGCACAACTATTTTCTATTTTCTCCCAATGACATAATTTCTAACTGCAATTAGAAATTAGTACAATTGGACACTTTATCAACAATTTTCAAAAGCACTTATTTAAATATTTTCAACATGGCTACCTTTTACATCAGTAAAGCCATGTTTCATCACCATATGCTTATCATTGTCAGGTGATTGTGCCTCTGTACAGGGCACTGGTGAGGCTGCATCTTGAATACTGTGTTCAGTTTTGGGCCCCTCGCTACAGGAGGAATGTTGAGGTACTGGAGCATTTCCAGAGAAGGACAATGAAGCCGGTGAGGGGTCTGGAAAACATGTCTTATGAGGAGTGTCTGAGAGGGAACTGGGGTGTTCAGCCTGGAGAGAAGGAGGCTGAGTTAGGTGTTAGGCTCACCTTATCGCTCTCTACCTGAAAGGAGGTTGTAGAGAGGTAGGGGTCAGTCTCCTGTCCCAAGTAACAAGTGACAGAATAAGAGGAAATGGCCTCGTAACACCAGAGGAGGTTTAAATGCGGTGTAAGGAAATAATTCTTCACAGAAAGGGTTATCAAGCGTTGGGACAGGCTGCTCAGGGAAGTGGTTGAGTCGCCACTTCGCCATCCCTGGGAGGTGTAGATGTGGTGCTGAGGGACATGGTTTAGCAGTGGACTTGACAGTGAGGTTAACGGTTGGACTTGATCTTCCATGTCTTTTCCAACCTAAACGACTCTACGGTTCTATGATTTCGCTGTTACCACAGCCCTGAACGGGGTCTCCACGCTGAAGATTAACACGCCCACCCACACCTGGTGCTTCGGCCGGGAGGCGGGTGGCCCTGCCAGCCCCAAACCCGCCTGACACCCATCCCTGCCCGGCCTCGGCCAGAAACAAACCAGAAACAAACCAGAAACAAACCAGAAACAAACCAGACGCCCCGCTCAGGCCCGTCCCGGCGCGCAGCTCTTCAGCTGCCTGCAACACTGAACAAAGCGGGCCAGCCGGGCCCAGCGGGGACCCGGGAGCTGCTGTCACCTCTCTCCGGGAAACCGGGGCTCGCCCGCTCCCCTCCCGCAGGCCCCCAGCACCCTGTTCGGCCGCTGCCGCGGGGCGGGCAGAGCCCGGGCCGGGGCGGGCCACGGGGCGGGCCCGGGCCGG